GTAGCTTTGTTGTTCAAAGTTATCAAGTTGAACTTTTCATAATGTAGATACGAGGGACGTCGTGGCTTTAAAACTAAATGCAGTTTTTAGAGGCATTACAGTATATAGTCAAACCTTTTGTACACCTTCAAGTAAAGTTAGGTAATCGATTTTCTCCTTGCAGCATTTCCTAACTTGTATATTAAATGCGGATGATGTGGAAAAGATTATTAAAACGCCTGGTAGAAGATACCTTGGTCCAAGAGGCACAGAAATGGCAGCTGTAAAAATACAGGTACCTTTTACTTTCCGTCACTTTGTAATTCAGATCACAATGTAAGCAAGAAATAGTCCTAGTGTGCAACTTTAGGAGAACGCAACCCAATTCTGGATGGGTGGTACCATCAACTAAAGATCTATTATCGGTTTTAGTGTTTGATTCTTACCTGCAGGGTATGATGCTGCGTTCATGTTAACTGTCACATGCTTGTGTGCTTTGCTTTTGTACCTAGCTATTTGCTAGGTGGCATCAGGCTGTATATCAGATCCTCTTAAACGTTGCCATCCATTTTTTTTTTTCAGTCCACGTGGCGAAGATACAAGGATCGCTCGGCCTACCTTCTCTACCGAAAGCGGAAATGGGCGGCAGGTTAGAAACGTCACTCCAGAGTGAACGACCACTAGTTATTATCGAGATAGACCTTCTTGATAAGTCGAAGTAGTTTGTTTCTGTTGTCCAGTGAAGTATTTTTTGGCAGAGTTATGTCCTAGCGCTTCTAACTTGCTGGAAAAGCAAGTAAGTGTCGTGTTGGTGGGTGATGCGGAAAAAGGGTCTTGTCACCTCGGGGAAAGAGATATGTGTGCCGCGAAGTTTCCACAACTGTGAGGGGCCAGAAGTCTGAATTGTATGTAGCTTTGAGGTATAGAGAGTTACCTTCAAATTTGATCTTAACTTCATGCAGTGTGATGATGAATATTTCGAAGGACTGCGAATGACGAAAGAGACAATTTAGGGCAAATGTTTCAGAATCGAGAAACCACACGGCCAGCCACTTTTGTGCTCTTGATTATGGCAAAATATTTAAACTACAATTTGATCTTCTTCCTTTTTTTGTTTTTCGAAGGTGTCATAGCAATATCATGGATTATGAGCTGTAAAATATCCATGGTGCGAAAACAGCTTAAAGCGACAAGAAAATTACAGCTCAAAAGGTTCAAAGTACGCGCAAAGGTTAGTTCCATAATTTTTTGCTTAGATAAATTATCACATGTACCTTAATGACTTTGGGAGACACGGTGGCTATGGTTAGTTGGATTATGGTCGGCTTGAACGATCCATTGTACTTCTATACGTTATCCCTGTTCCCAGACCATGGTCCTCTTTGAAATATCTGAACTACTATTTTCATATGAGCGCGCACATGTGGTAAAGGAGTAATCCCCTCTACAAATTTTGTGCCAAGGGTTCCTTTGGTTGTTTTAGCTTTATGGGTTTGATTCGTAAAAAAATGAAACGTGCGCGTTGTCTGTATTAAGATTCTTTGCTTGAGCCTTTGTAATGGAAAGAAAAAGTTCTTCTGTAACAGTGAATTGTATCTGTATATTTTTTACGCGACTGTCCTTAGGCATTTCAAGAAGCCTGGCCTCGTATCAAGGATTCTAGGAGAGTAGTAATTCATATACCGTCCTTAGGTAAGTACTATTTTATCGCATGTCGGACTGCAGGAGACAGCCGCACTCGACTGAAACCTTTCAAGAAAAACACACCTTATAGAGCTGCCTACGTAACTGAGCGGGCTTTTACTAGAGAAACTTGATCAACATTGTACTTCTTATTATTNTCACAATAGACATCAAAGTTTGGTAAGAACAAAAAAGGTGGCAAACGAGGCACAGCTGAGTGTGTCACTGATGTCCTCACCACATTTTGACGTCTTCTTTGATCTACTACTGTACACATCCATGACAACTTAGAACCTATTTGTTTTATTTGATAAAATAGCAAAATGTTGTTAATGGTGGCATCATCTATGCATCTTTCCTTCAATAGATCACAATTGAGAACCAATCAAAATGCGTATATAAGTCAGCTTAACCTAGATTTTGACGTTCCTTTGTATTTTGTAGGATATGCTCAGCACATTCGAGATGAACTGAGTGAAATAAAAATTTTACAGAATCTTCAAATGGCCAGACTGTGCGACATAGCCGGTAAGAATAGGTCCTACCTACATACAGCAAATCTTAGTGAATTCCTTTCGCAATTTTCTAATGACCATCTTTTTATTACGTAGATCCCAAAGTCGAAGTTATTTATATTAGTCCTGTGGAACTAAATGACGAAGTCTACCAGTATTATTCGAAACTACTAGCAATGAAAGCGCGGAGACTGGAAAAGAACAATTCTGAATCCAAAGGAAATGGAGAGGAGGATGAAGACATCGAAAACCGCTACAAGATCATTGTACCTGATGCTGTGAACAGATTCCCAGTATGGCATTTTCCACCTTTTGATGAGTTTGAAATTTCAGTTTTATCGCTATCTTTACGAGAGTAATGTTTTATACTGTCCAGGAAAAACAAAAATATAATTTACTTACGTTTAATGAAAAACATTTCATTGTCACTTTGACTAACATTGAGTAAAGCTAGCAAACGGAATAAACGTGCTTTCGTCCAATAAGGAGCATTTTCTACAGAAAAAATCGAGCGTTTTTTACAGCACACTATACAAATTATGTTTTTTTCTGGCATGCCCACTATTTCTAAGAGTAAATGATTAAATGATATCATCTGCGTTTACAGTCCACCTTGTTGGCACATAGTTGTGCCAGAAACACGTATCTCTGCTTAGTTCTTGTTTTCCAAGCCATAGATCTGTTTTTTGATGTCATGTATAAATACCTGAGTTTTTTATTCGTCCAACAGACTCACAATATGTGTCTTTCATCCATCTTAAAGTACAGTCCACGAACAGTGAAACGGTAAGACTTTTGGTTAATTCCAACTATGGAAGAATAACTTACCAGTTATTACCTGTGGGTTTAATGGGCCATTTTTAACTTTACCAGTGTTTAAGATTGCAGTGCTCATTTTTCTTTGCGTTTAATCTTTGTTAGGCTGAGGAATTTAATCAAAGGTCGCGATGCATATATAGTTCCTGGTGTTCTTCATAAAGACGACATTTACTTGGCTGATTTACTGGGTAAATCTGACAAACTTTTCAGATAGGTGTAGATGTATTGCTTATCTTGTGCACAGAACCTCACTATCTTTAAAGCGCACATCGAGATAGCATCCTCATGTCGTGCTGCACTAATTATCGATTGCAAAATGAAAGTAGGGGTTTCAATAACTTTTTACATAAGCGGCTGCCGATGGTGTAATAAGCGGCTGCAGCATGCCGCACGGCGAAACCCAAACACGAGAGCCAGGTCGTAGGCTAAACAGCTTTTATTGAAACCCCTGTGAAAGACGCTTATTCAGATAAGCAACAGTATTGTATCGCAGAAAGGGATAATCACGTGAAGATTTGTGGATGATGAGAGAAGACATCAAGCGTCGAGAGCATACGTGCGGCAGTATGGTATAGAGGTTGAATGTTGTTTGTCTTTCTCAATCAGATATTCCGGTTTTGAGCCCAGAGCATAGGTGCGGCAGTATGGTATTGAGGTTGAATGTTGTTTGTCTTTCTCAATCAGATATTCCGGTTTTGACCCCAGAGCATAGGTGCGGCAGTATGGTATTGAGGTTGAATGTTGCTTGTCTTTCTCAATCAGATATTCCGGTTTTGACCCCAGAGCATAGGTGCGGCAGTATGGTATTGAGGTTGAATGTTGATTGTCTTTCTCAATCAGATATTCCGGTTTTGAGCCCAGAGCCCGAAGTGGCCTCATTATACTCTACCAAGTCAGGTTCCAAGAGGATTTTTCTCAGCGCAAAGGTTGAGATTCCTCCTGGCCACTTTGACATATACAGTCTTCCACAGGTTTGTGCAGTATTTGACATATACAGTCTTCCACAGGTTTGTGCAGTATTTACGGGGCCCATATTGCATCTCATTTCCTTAAGTGACTGAAGGCATACGCGTAAAATTATTCTAGTTCCATGTCTTTGCCTACTTGGTTTGCCATTTTTGCCTGTTGATAAATATCTGTGGACAAGGCGCGGTTTAGAATGGTGACTTTTTAAAAGTTGAACATAAAGACTGGTTGAGCCTAATACCTAACATCACTATCTTTACTCTCCATACTGTTCTCTAGACATTTCATGTGGTGCTGACAAGGAGAATTTTTTACAATCCAGAGCTTCTTTGGTTGATGATCATGTCCTTTATTCCCGTGACCACAAAATGTGATTTAGGGGTGTTATTATAAGGAGAAATATGATGCTAGTCAGTCTCAGGGATTAAAGGGTTCTAAGTAAATGAAACGTTCGGTGTCTGAATCAATTGAGAACGGCTATTTCAATTTGGGACAGCTTTTCCCTTGTCTTCCTGCCTGGCTTGGCTGTTAATTTTGACTTTGGAGTGGCCTGGTTCAAACACCAACCGTATCATAGCATGCCGAGTTTAATGCGTTGGTGATGGCGTTTTTTTACTGAGAACGCTAGAAAGCCTGAAATTTTATTTGGAAGGGCTAAAGAACGGTCAATTCAGTTAGATGTCTAAATCAACAGCTTAACATTTGATAATTTGGGTTGGTAAAATTGCAATCGAGTTGAGCTCTTGGAAAGTTTTTCCTTACTCTTATTGAGAAAATCAGTAATTGTGAACAACTTTAACGGAGTCTCGCTCTTCCTGTTTCAGCTTCACGAAAGTCTTGCTGAACTGGTAACGGAGAACCTCCATATTAAACGATGGCTCTTCAAAATGGACAATGAATTTGATGGCAGAGGAACAGGTAAGCATAAACTGGTGTTGACACATGCTCGATTGCTTTGGAGGTGAAATCTAGATTTAAGTGCTTGCTCTCTCCTTGCAGCTTTCTGTGATGTCACGCCTTATTTGAAGTGCTACTCGTGGGCCGTGAAAGAGTGTCAGCGGTACGGTGAGAAATGGAACAAAAAATGGGCTCATGAACCAACCTTGATCAGAGTTTCAGCAGAGATACCCGAGATTATAGCCCACCATGCTACTCCCGTGAGTAGCGACCTCTACCCCACATGGGACAAGTTTCTTCAGGATTTTCTAAAAAGAGGTGGGGGATTTTTGTAACACATGTATGATTATCAGCATAGAATCTCCATACGAGACTAAACAGCACTACCTGCCGGAGCCTCATCCTTATTTTTGTGAAATGAAGGAACTGCGAGTACTGCTGCCTACCACTCCCGGATGGGATTCTAGTCCGGCGCAGGTAGCCCTCAACCCCCTCCCCCAGCTTTTCTTTAGATTTCCTGACAGTTCTGAGGTATCTATTAAACTTCTGGTAGAGAGAGAGAGAGGCACTGTTAGAGTCATGTGGCCTACACAAAAACCCACAGTACTCTAACCTAACCTGACCAGACCTTTCGATCATGTGCCCAGCACGTCAGCTACCTTCATACCTTGTAATATACTGAGGGGAAAATCGATCTGAGTATATTTGCGCGTAATAATTGTACAATCAAGTAGGTTTTTTTCATTTTTCAGGAGGAGTTATTGAAGCTTGCCCTTCGTCTGACAGTGTTACAACTCTCAGTGTGGATGTGTTAATTGAACCGACTGGGGAGACAACAGTCTTGTCTATGGCAGACCAGGTAAGTTAGAGTTGTGACATCAACGTAATCAACTAAATCCGAGACTGAGGTCATTTTATTTTGTTGCAAGATAAACATTAAGGACACAAAATTTAAAAAAAAAAAAAAAAAAATCAAAACAAAGCAAAACAAAACAAAAACAACTGGCCACATAATTTTTTTTTCGTTCGTCGTGTTAACCTTCACTACTGATAAATTTACTTATTCTCCTTAGATTCACGCCACGTCACCGTTCAGATGTTGGGGATACTCTGTGCCCCAGACCTCTGTGGATCCGCCGGTACTATGCACGGCTGCTGATGCTGTGTCAAACGCCTGTAAACTACGGGGAATTGTGGGATATTTTTCGATCGACTTTGTGACGTTTATTGATCCTAAATCGGTAAGCATTGCAGTAGAGTGCGATTACACTATTTTTTTTTAATAAGAACATCTAATTTTGATGCTGACGCTGAACTTTCTCTTTTTCTTTTTTCACGATTTGAGCCTGAAACATTCTTAACAAGTAACCTAACCCTAACCCTAACTCAGGTTATTAATCAATTCAGACGTGACAAGACTTAGTTCGACTACAATCTGAGTTGTTCCTCAGTGTATCGTGCAATAACCATATTTTTAATGTTAAATAATGTTGCCGACGCAGAAAATCTTTAGTGATTGAAAGGAACAGATGCAAAGTTGGCAGTCGGTGCTAACTTTCCACTATCGCTCATTTGCTGTGTGAAAGATACGATGAGCATTCGAGGACGAAACCTACACCCCATGATGGCCAGTTATAACTTCCATGCATAAAATCGTGCTTTATTTTCTCAGTTGGAGCAGGTTGTGTGGGCTGTCGACCTAAAGCTTAGGTACAGTGACAGTATGGCTATGACAAAACTTATGCTATATGTGTCTGGTGGAGAGTTTCAAGCTCCACAATCATCATTTGTGGTGCCAGTTAAAAAGAAACAAGAAGAAAGCGGACGGAGAAAGAGACGAAAAACATTTGAGGAAGAGGAGGTGAGATTCTTATGCGGATTTACAGTACAGAAATAAAAGAATGAGTGAACAGCCAGCATTCAAAATGTAGCAAGTTCGGTTAGATGTGATGTCACTAATGAGTAATCACCGGAAGAAACATAAAACTGTAATCCTAATCTGTAATTGGACGAAAAGTGTCTGCTGAATGCAACTTCTTGTTGCTAAAAAATTTGGGATGAACAATTTGGGATGAACAATTTGGGACTTTAACTCGTGTCTGCCAACGAGTGGGTTTCTGCTATATACAGGTTTTGCTATAGTTGTTTAGTTTCGATGTAATCATATTAAAAACAACTAGTGTTTGTTGGTCTCATGGGGGATTTCATTCGTTCAGCCAGAGTCTTGCGAAGTTTTATGACATTACAGTATACAATTGTGTTCTTGAACATTCTTTGATTAAAAGAACTCCAGTTTTAATGAGAACAAAATTTCAGATCTTTTACGAATTCAATCAACGGACGATGAGTTTATATGGCCAGATTCGAAGTCAGTGAAAGCTCACTGGGGAGAAGTGGCATATCATCGACACACAATACCCTTTTGCGTCTAAGAGTTTCTGTAATAATCGCGAAGAAGCTGTTGCCATTGCCTTGTCATTTTGTGTGATTTGTGTTTTCATTGCTTTACAGCCGCCCCCCAATCCTAATCGTTTCGCCATTCTTAGCACCAGACTGCTGCACAGTAACTTAAGTGTGATCCATTACAGCGTATTTTTCCAAATGTGTCGTGCTCATGGTATTGGTTTTGATATGAAGGTAAGGAAATCGTTTATCACGTGGTAACAACGTGCTTCGGTCCCTGGCTGGTGTTACACTCATTTGCTAAGTTACAAGAGAATATTTCTTGTTATGCTATCAACATCGCCAGTGAAGTTCCCTACACATTTTCTCATTCTTTTCGGCTTTTACCTCGCTAAATACTTCCTTGAAAAAAAAAAAATTTCTTCACCACGCAACATTTTAAATTACAGTTCGTGGAACACACTATGTTTGGTTCACGGAGGAAAACTTATTTTAATTTTTTGTCGTGATTTCATCTATTTGTAATGTTTGTTTCTTTATAGGAAAAAGCTGGTACAATTTTCACTTTGGTGGACAGTTCAAAACGTGAACATCTAGGAATGTTGTAAGTTGTTCCGTCTTTGCCTTTGATTTTCATTTTTGTTGCATCTGCTTGAAATGAACTTAAAATGTTCTCTGTGCGTGTGTCTGAGTCACTTACTACTACCCAACTTTCGTATCCTGAACTGAAAGCTCCATATTTGTTGTGGTCGTGCCTTGGGGTTGACACATCAGTTGATTGACCTTCAGTGGCATATCTTCATGATCACTCTTCGGAAACGAAATCCTGGTCAAGGTAGACTTGACTTGAAACTTAGTCATGATCGTGTTTCAGTTACGAACTGCAGACGAAGGACAACCAGCAATAAATTGTGGCTCATTTTCTTGTTTGTTCTAATAAATTTCTCACAATCATCATCCCCTCCAAGATTTAATCGCTTGTCATGACTTTGATTTGCAGATATTTAGTCCATATCTATAACTATTTCGTAAACAGTCCCAAACACCTCACTCCTAAATTTTAATTCTTTGTCGACTCTGTTTCAGTGTCATGAGTGATGATCTGCAAGGCTCTTTATCAACATTTGCTCGTAACTTGTCAGTAATTCATCAGGAAATCTCGGCTCCAAATATGCAGGGAGAGAGTAACTTTCAGGTCAGTCTACTTAATACCAGATTTTGATGCACTTAAATATCTATCCTTTGGAATGAAAAACTTTGCTTTTGCCGGGTTTTGGGATTGACGGTCAGTGGAGGCATGCTAAGGAACGTGTAAAAGAAAACTACCGCTGTTTGTTGCTCACTCTCCCCCTTTTGCAATCGTTTTCTTTGGTCAAGGGCCTGGCTCAGGAGAGGGAAATTTGTTGTCGTTTGGAATGGCTAACTGAGGGAGTAATGTTACTAGAAAAATTGTTTCTGTAATTTCTTTGAAATGATTTCATGTTGTTATTTGTATTGTATTTTTGTATTTTGTTTCTCAGGCAGCCATTGATGACATTGACTCCATCTTGGGAACAACTGAAGAGAACAAAAAAAACCCTTCAATCCCTTGCACGAAATCTCCGCAACTGCATGCCCCGCGACCTAAGGAAATGCAGCGAATCCTCCAAGAACACCAACAGCAAATGCATGCCATTGAAAAAGATAAAAAGGAAATGGAAGAAGAGAAGGAAAAGCAGCGACTTGCGGAGGAACATAGGAGATCAAGTCAGATGGAAGGGAGAGTACAGACCGGCCAAAGTAGTGCCCCTCCTCCCACCCCTGCGGCTGGAATATCGCCAGCTGGCTCGACAGCGGTTATAGAGGAAACACCAGTCACTACTAGGGCAGCCTCTGTTGTTAGTGGAGTATCAAATGCCTTAACCTCTTATGAGGTTGCTCAGACGTCCTCTGGGAGCAACGTTGCAGCCGAGAGTGAGGAGGTTTCGACGGACCCACCTCACTCCTCAGGGGATATTTTGAATGACTGTAAAACCCTCCCTGAGTCAGTCAAGGAACACCACATTCAAAGATCGTTGTCCAGTCCATCTGGCCCGGCACCTAAAGATAATCTTAGGGAGGAGAAAAGAGCTCCTTCTGTAAAAATGAAAACGAGAACGCCATACCCTAGGGAAGATGGCAAAGGCAAAAGGAGTTTGTCAGCCAAGAAGTGATGTCGAAGGGAATAGTCGTTTTGTTTGATAAGTGATGCAGTGCTGTATTTATTCTTTTACGAGGTTAAAGTCGCGAAATATTGATTTTACAGATTTGTTGATTATCCTGAAGAATGGTATTGTGAATTTCAACAGAAAACAAAAGAAACAAAGAGATAAAATGAACAACGTTGTCTTTTAACATTTCCCACTTAGTTTGACATTGTATATAAAATTAAACAAGCGAAGGTGTCTTCATCTAAACTGTATAGTCTGTGAGGTGGGAGGGTTGTGTGTAGATAATGTTTTTACCGTTAGTGTACTTTTTTTGCTGCGTAAACAAGCAACGAACACCTGGCGCTAAAGAAGATTTTTTATGTACCATCTTGCTCTCAACTCCTCGAACTGTTGGGAAAGTATCGATGTCACAGAGAACTATATCAGAAACTTTAAATCGTCTTCTGGAAAAGAAGTGAATGTCCTCTCGTTCTTCTCGGTAAATTGTCAAAGGAGGATCATTGCAAATTCTACGTTACAGTCGTGTTTCCATTAAATACTCGCCCCACGCATCCTCAAGTTGTAAACGAACCATGGCAGCGGTCGTGTTTGCTTCCCTTGCACTAACAGGGAATGAGTCAGACACCTGTATTTGTGGGAGAAAAAACACATAGAAAACAATTACATCACCCTTTGGCCACTTGATAAGGCATTAAAGGCAGAGCAGGTGCGATGGTAAAAAACTCAAAGAAAGCGGAAAGTTTGCAATCTCGCAAATGATGCACATAACATCATTTCATCGACCTTTTCCTACCTGTTGATAGCCTTCACTGCATCGTTGAGCCATTTCATGGAGCAGATCACCAAAAGACCTCACGTCATTTGCATGACTTGGTCCTTTGCATGCACGGTCAAAGTTTATCAGCGTTGCTCGCCAACGAGGGATCTGAAACAGCAAATACCACAGACTTATTGAAAAGCTTATAATGAATTAGTGAAGAAATGAATGTATGAGTGAGAGAAGAGAAAGTGATAATAGAATGAATGAATCAAATTACGGAGAAAGGAACGAAGGGATGAGGAAGGGAATTAATGAACTCATGAAAACACGCACAAAAAAATACAAGAGGAAATGAATGAACGGAAAGAAAGTATTAGTAAATAAAAAGATGAAAAAATGGATGGAGGGTTGGATGGATGAAGAAAGTACTGAATGAGTGAGTTAAAGAATGAAGAAATAGGCAAACGAATGCCTGAATAATGTGAATAATTTAAAGACTATTTTGAGTTCTCGTCATATTATGACGTCATCAACATAGCAGTTCTAGAGTGAGACAAAATGTTTTTTTTACATGGGAAGAGCCATACTCGCCCCTGGATTTTCAGTTAAAAAGATATTTGCAGGTATAATGTCATTATGATTCACGCCATGCTCATGCAGATACTCCAAAGTCCTAATGATGTCAAGAGCAAGATGGTAAACTAGAAAGAGACTCATGGATGAGCGGTTCTTTTCCATAAAATTCAGTAGGGAGATTCCTTCGATATACTTGTAGCAGAGCACGCTGAAAAGAAAGTAGAAACAAGAACATCGTCAGTGGGAGAGTTTCATAAATGAAAATAACGTCTTCCTGCTTGAAATAAAGGTGTGCCAAACTTCAGAGCCTTTGGAGTATAGATTTAGAAATGTAGTCTTTGGAAAAGTAAACGTAACAGTGCACTTCAACACCGAAAAACAATAATTGAATTTGGAAATTTAAGGACAAGGGATAGGAAGCCCTTCCTGTGCCAGTGTTGAAGGAGGCCTTTTCATACCTCTTAGTACAGACGGTAAAGGAGGAACTGATTTAAATTACGTATCTTAATATATCTACTTCCCCAAAATGTTGAATATGATGTTACCGATGTTAACTGGGGCCAGAATTGTGGTGATGATCTTAAAGTTCACATTTATGATGTCGACTGCAGATGACCGTAATTCTTATCAGTAACCACCAGCGATCAATGACCTTTGCTACAGATCATCTTTTCAGAACATTGTAATTATCGATACCAGCAGAACTGTATCATCAACTTCGTCAGCATCTGTATACTATTTACCATGTCGGAGACTTCGTAATTTGAGTAGAACAGAGGTTTAGTTTCTTAATTAACACCATTGATTGAGGTAACCTTGAATGAACTTTCATTGATTATCACTTAACAACGACCAATGGGAGATCATATTTGTCTTTCTATTACGCGATATCTCGGTATATAACACTAGGGCCCCAATTTTTACACACCCGCTGTAAGACGAATTCGAGAGACATTGATTAAAGGCTTACTTTTTAACTCAGTCGAGTCTACTGATTGAGAGTATTGATAGGTCACAACTCCTCGTAAACGGGGCAGAGTTTACGAAAACCAATTATATCTATGATAATATATATATATTTAATACACGACTCGGGCAGTCAGGGGGCCAATAACTAAAATCAACCAATTAAAATGCTCTATTGCCGGTCCAATATTCTCTAAGTATTGGACCGGGCACTGTCGCGAATGGTCCCGAATGATACCGCACTTGTGTCCCTTTGAACTTCAGTCGTATAATAAATCTCTTATTAACCAAGCTTGCTCGGGACCGTACTGGAAGAATATCGGCCCTCGGTCTTTTTTGTACGGACCTCGCT